GTTGTGGGTGCGGTTGGAAGAGGAGGAGGGGAGGTCAAGCGATGAATCGGTCGAGAGAGATGAAAACCCTCACTTCGAAGTTGGCGTCCGTTGGTTGCCTGGCTGGGGTCCTAAGGACGGTGAACACCTTTGGTTGGACACACTTGCTGATATGGCTTGGAGCAGGCCCCAATAGCGTTTGGGTTGTGAGTTTCTTTGTCCACCCCCCTCCTGCTTAGCATCCCCTCCAATCACGATCACACCCGTTAGGCATAATATAAATCTCTTTTTACGGCACGATAACCAGCTGTTATCTCTCTGGAACGATGTACATCCGGTACCGAGGAACCAGCCGATGTTCCACTGTTTGTTTTCCCTCTCTTGTCTTTTGTATTGCGGCACAATAGCTGAGGTGTTTTCCACCTGCAGCTAACGTGTATATTGATGATGATGATTGTGATTGTTGACCCGTGTGATAGATCGTACGGACAAGCGCCTGGGGTTTAGCTTAATAACATGGACTGTCGGCCATGCCAGAATGCCAGTACCAGTGGTCCTATTCGATAACAGGCTCTGTTAGAATGGTGTTGTGAATCGCGCTCGAATTCTTTATCGTACACTGACCCCGTTTCCTCTTAGCCTGCGGTGGGTGGCCTCAGATATTAACGAGTTACTACCCCCGCCCCCCTTCATGTAACCCGTCACCGCCTGTGACAAGTCACACACGAACAAACTCCGGGCTGTAGTGATTCCACTACACCCTCTTTTCCTGTACATGCGTACACATTGCTTTGTCTACTGCACGTCCGACATGCTATTGGCTGACAGCACTTAGCTTAGGAACCAGACGCACGACGGTGCACGCATGTCACAGTCGCCTGACTCAACTTGGTACATCGGAAGGATCAACCTGTTAGCATAACAGGGGAAGTTGATATCTGGTTAGCTCAAGTTGTTATTTGTATGACATAACATGGATCAGAAATCGTACAGATCACTCTGAACAGTTGCTGGTCAGTATTCCTCTGAACTTTGCGCAAAATTTTGATGTCCTCAGCAAACAGCAGGAAGTTAGATGTAGTTGCATGGGGGAGGTCATTGATAAATACCAAAAACAATCGGGGACATAGCACCGAGCCTTGACGCACACCACATTCAACTTGCATGGGGTCAGAGAAGGAGCTCCGAATTCTGACCACCAATTGCCACTGAAGGAGATATTTGGCGATAAAGCTTACAAGAGGGTCACCGATCCCGTAACGCTGTAGCTTGGAAAGGGGTATCCGATGATCTATACGGTCGTATGCTTTCAAGAAACCCAGCTAGATCACATTAACATTCTCCCCAAAGTCAGCTGACTGGGTCCAGCTACTCCGTGCTATTAGCAAATTCGTTGTGTACGATCGATTTCGACGGAAGCCGTGCTGCTCAGAAATAATAATGTTAGAGTTTTCCAAATAACCCACCAGCGCATCGGCTATGATGGATTCCATTACTTTGGACAGTATAGGGAGAAGGGAAACTGGGCGGTAGTTTGAAGCCTCGGTTCTGTTTCCACCTTTGTGAATGGGTGTTATTATTCCAAGCTTCCACATGGCAGGAACTTGGTTCTGGTCTAAGCAGCGCTGGAAGAACTGAGCCAGTGGCTTTGCCAGTTGACTTGCTGCTGCTCCCAGTGCCTCTGGGCGAATAGTATCGACACCGTGTATTTGTGCTTGCGTAGAGTGGTCAGCTTCTGCAAGACAGCTTCGGTGGTAAAGGAGATGTGAGTGAGTCCCGGCGGCGGGGCGATAAAAGCTGGAGGATCTCTGATGGTAATACCCTCTGGAAGGTGGGGGCATATTGCATCCGCAGCGCGTTTGCTGCTTCCGTAGCCGTTCGTGTTGGGCCATCAGCCGTCGTGAGTGGCGGAACTCCTTGCCTCACCTTCCGTAGACCATTGACGTGCTTATACAGCAGTTTGTGATTGGCGCTGAAGGTTTTTGCCATGTTCTGCTGATGCGCGGCTTTGTCCTCTCTGAGCAGTTGAGTGCAGTGGTTTCGTTGGGCTACGTAGTTATCCCAGCTTTCTGGTGTTGGGGATAATCTATACTCTCGCCACGCTGCGTTGCGTACTGCCAGCAATTTTCGAGTTCTGCTCCTTACGTAAGTAACTGTTTCAGACCGTTTGCAAACTTTTGTCTCTGAAGCATCCGTAACCAGCCGATTGAATTTGTTTACGAACTCGAGCCAGGCGACATCCGGGGGTCTTCGGCGAGGAACGACCAGGTTGTGGCACTGACGAGGTGGGCTAATCGGTCGTAGCATGTGATGGTTCGCGCCGTCTCATGGTCCGCATCTCGGTATTCTGCATAGCAGATGAAGTTGAAACTAATAACTGCATGATCACTGCGACCTAACGGGCAGTCTACAACCAACGCATCAATCATATGTTCTTCGTTGGTAAGCACAAGATCAAGCACAGATGGCCTATTACCTGTTCTGAACCGAGTGGGCGAAGTGACATGATTATAAAGCGGAACACTGGTTACAAGCTCCTGCAGATCGGCTTTAAATTGTTCTCCGCTCGTGGCAGGGGTTTCTAAACAATGCACATTGAAATCACCCATGGTCAAGATGTGAGTGTATCTTCCTTTTAGAGTTCGCCGTAGGGCAGTCGCAATTTGGTAGTCCGTTTCAGATGTAGTTAGGGGGACGGTACACCAAGGCTATAAGGCAAGTGTCTCTGCCTCTTAACTGCAGGCGGCACCAAAGCGAATCAGGAATCAGCGAATCTGAATCCTCCATGACCTCGCACTGTAAGTCGCTTCGGTAATACAGAATTACGCCTCCTCCTTTTGTCAGTCTGTCGTTCCGAATGAGTGACATGCCAGGTAGCGAAATTTCAGCGTCCGTCATTTCAGTGTTGTAACCATGTCTCCGTGATACCGATTATATCATATTTCTGGGAAACTTGGCGATCTTTCAGTTCGGCCAGCTTATTGAAGAGGCCCTGAGCATTCGTGTACAAGCACGCTAGTTTATCGGTCATTATTAGACCACAGTAAGTCAAGGTGTGTGGGAGTGCCGACCGATGTGAGGTCGGCCGTTATTTGTTTTTTGAATGTGATTCTCATACTACTTCCTTACCTTGCTCTGGCCAAGGCGCGTCCCAAGTCTCATCTAGGTCTACGTCAGCACCGGGTAAAGAAGCAAGCATAACTGGTACGTTTGTTTTTCTAGATGATTTGATAAAGATACGTTGCAAATCACTTGCAATCCCGAACCGAAATCCCGATGGAAAGCTTTTCGATTTTTGAGTCAACTGTGTAACACATCCGTCGCAGCTTGCTCGGACTGAACCACGAATGTTAAGACTCACTGGCTGCATCCTCTATAAATTGGCGAGAGGCAATCTTTCGAGCGATCGCAGGAGAACCGCCATTGTGCTAAATCGTTATTTTCGGTCTCTTGACTATCGCGTGAAGGAATTTCTGGCACACCATGTATGAAGACAGTGTTTAGGCAATCAGGTTTGTTGTGTCCTTCTTCGGAGCTTATTTTCGATTGTCGCATGTTCCACGGAATCGTAGGATAGATACGTATCCCACACGATCCATGTTGCAGCGCGTTTGCGGAGAGCAGAAAGTTTTCCACATCAATTGAGGATTATAGTCTTACTCTAATAAGTCTATGCTCACCAAAATATGCAGAGTTCGGATGACGAGTAATTCGCACTAAGTTTGTGAGTTTGGCTTTTACTTTCATCAGAAAGCACAGTGACACCCATTGGTTTAGGTCGTCGAACAATTTACCTTGCAAGGTGATAGCTGTTGATTCGGGTACGTTCGAGCACACAACAGTCAGGGCACTATTTTTAGATTCCTTTTTCGTTGAGCCTTAAGGTTGAGGGATTGCTTGTCCGGAATTGCTACTAAGTGACGATTGCTTATTGTTTGTCTCTCTACTCAAGTTTGCGGTGTCTTTAACTGAAAAGACTGAAAGGGTAGCATCTCAGGTGAACTTTGCAGCAATCGCAGCATATGTGACTGATGTTCTAGGGGAGTTTGGCTCGACACTAAACTCCTGAGCTGCAGATGCTGAGAGTGAAAACATGGATCACTTGCGTTGCAGTAACCGGAGCAAAAGGATGAATGGTAGGTCTGAAATGGATACCGTGAGTGGTCATAGTAAAATGGATGGCCATGGACAGAGTAAAGCGCTGAACAAGAGGGCCGATTGAGGGGAGATTGGATCTTATCGTGTTGCAATGGCTTGCGCGATGCCGTGACGTATTGAACAGTACTGAGCGACCATACAATTGCACCTACAGTCACCACTTGCCAACATGCTAACTAAGAAAACTCAGCATCAGCCCACAGAACCTATGAGGTTAATAGGACGCCAACGATACTCTTTATCGCAAAAGTTGATCCCTCAGGCATAAAAGGCTTATTTAACAAGGCAATCTCAGCGAAAAAGACAGAACAACTAGCTTAGAGAAGCCTCGAGTAAGTGACTAGATCGTTTATATAACTAAAGGCGCTTCGGGAATCAACAGACGCTTCCGCTGTTTCAGTCACTCACTGCAGCTCAGCCAAATATTAACCAATTAGCGTAGAGGTGAAGATGCGTAGATGTGCAATCATCCGCTCCGTTCGTATGCGGCAATCTAGCCGCATGCCTCGCCCTGAATGCGTAATTTTATCGCACACCTCCTTCAAAAATTATTTTCGAAGATAACAGTTGTGAGCAACTAGCATAATTCGATTTGAAGCGTATGCATCGTCAGTAAAACTATTCGTTTGGTGGTGGAGCAACGGGGTTCACAATGCATGGACCATCGTCCGGACAGGTGAAATGAACATGAACGTGAGTCCAAATCAAAAAAAATTGGCGCAAAGAATGCGTGATCAAAATCAAAAAATGCAGATCATAATCAACAGGAGAAAACGGTAATCCAAGATAGACCACTAATTAAGTATGGGGAATAAAATCTATCAGAATAACTATCTACAAAAACAGTTCATGAGAAGTCACGTCTATTTGATGATGGAAGAAGTGGCGTCCGCATTTATGCCGCATGTTCCATCCCCACGGTACACCCGGAAATAACCCTGGATAAAAAAATCGCAGAATGATCATACACAGTGTTTGGAATACAAGAGGATAATAGATTAGTTGCGATGATACTGTTACACCATACATGTCTACTTGACGGGACTGACACTCAGCAAGAAGCCATGGGTGGGAGCAGAGCAGAAGAATATCCTGGTGGCTACTGAAACGGGTGGGAACGAACAGCAGATATCTGAACTAACGCAACTCAACTAAATATGCTTCCTCAGATGATAACATTCAGCAACAAAAAACATCCCCATATGGTTCCGAGGTTACCTCAACGACCTTATAGTATTTTGTGGTGATGAGTTCAAATATGACAGCAGCATTTCTAAAATAAACTGGTTTCTAACATAGAACATTTAAACAACTGGTAATTAACGAGTAAATACTAATGAGTGATTATATGGAGTTTCCCCTATTTTCCACCGATATATGTGTCGTCGTCGACCTAGCTGTTTGAACAATTCCGATTAATTATGCCATATCTGTGAAGAACATGCTGTAAAGAAACAAAGGAAAACTGATACTTCTTTCGTGAATGAGACATACTGCGCTTCGTTTAGAATAAGACTTCATGAGGATAGATCATGGACTCCTCACAAGGTTTGAAGACTCTGTATCGATTGTCTTCGAAAGTGAACAACTAGTGCGAAGAATTTGAGTTTTAGTGTGCTTTTGGTGTGTGGAGAACGGACAAGCCACAATGATGATTGTTATTTCCGTGTTGTCAATGTGAAAGGCTTCAATCGATACATGAAACGTAAATGGGAGTGGCCTAGTCTAGAATAAGCCAGACGACACATGCCCCACACCGCAGAATTTCCCAGTGTTAGTTTCACTAACTGACCTTTCATTTTCCAATACTAGGAAATTTCACGACAAGGATCTCCGCTGCAATATAGGTGGTAGCAGTGGCAGTGGACATGAAGGAAATTCCTTAAAACCACAGTAATTTTCAAAAGGACTAAGAACAAGTACTGCTACCGTTAGCATATATCCTTAAAGAAAAGAATCACTTGAAGCCGGGAACTAAAATAACAGATTATCGCACAAGAGAAGATGCAGACATTGTCTACTACAATAATACTGCTTAAGTACTTTTGGTAATGAAACTACCGATATATCAACTAAGAGACTAGGGGGTATTGCATAGACATCTGCAGTGTCGTCGCTTCATGTACCCATGAGACAGGATGTCGACCGGTGGCCGAGTGGTCTGCACATTTGGTTTACAACCATAAAGTCACCGGTCCGAATCCGCGTAGGGGTGGGCGTCCTCGCGGTATACTCAGCCCGCGCGCGACTGGTGGTGGTCGTGCGGCAGCAAAGCGCCGTTACGGCGTACAGCTGACACATTATTATTATTATGAGACAGGATGTCTAAACATTATTGGAAGAAAGTAATTTTGCCTACCCTGCCCTTGAACAGTCAGGTCTGTTTAGCACCAAAGAATCACTTGACATCAGCAAGCTTCGGGGCACGAATTCTACGCCATCGCAGAATGTGACTGTTTTGCGCTTTTGATGTGGAAGTTCTCGACACGAAGCGGATTGTCAAACGTGTCCGGCCCGTACAGGAGATTGCAAAAACTGCGGTAAGCGGAGACATTTCGCTTGGTGTTGTCTCTCCCGCCGCGTAGCACTAGTTGAACAACCATCGACTGAATCTCCTACTGCGTTTGTAAACGGGGAACAGTGTTCGGTTAGAAAACTTCATCAGCCAGACAATCGACAAAGATTAATGATGGAGCCCATGTTCTCTTTCCCTGACATTCGTACATTTATGCGCCATTGCCTCTACACCACTGTGCCAGTTGCAATGGAACTGGATTCTGCATCGTCAATAACAATCATTCCATCTAGCCTTTAAGACAATTACTTACATGGCATTCGATTGCATCGCACTTCATATAAGTTTGACTCTTATACCAATGCCCCTGTGTGCATCCATGGATTTATACTGATGAAACTTAGTCTATAGTCGGTCTCATCCGACGTTGATGTGTAGGTGGCATCTGGAGATGGCCCAGCCTTACTGGGGCGTAATGCTATGATAGCTCTTAACATAACGACATCTATCGAGCGAATACGTATCATGGTACTCAATGCATCAGTGCTTAAAGGTCTTTATCCCAAATTCTCTACTGAGACGACTGGTCGGATTCCAGACGAGGTAGAAAAGCTTGAGCGGGTGCAGCATGTAGCCATCAGACTGATTCCCAACTTACGAGGTATGCCATACGAAGACCGATGTAAGAAACTAGGGCTGTATACCCTAGCTTATCGTCGACTGAGGGTTGACCTCATCATGACGCACCGGATATTACACCTGAGTGATTACCGCATGTTGAAACAACTGCTTCACCTGCGCACACCAAGCTGCACGCGAGGACACCGGTATAAACTTATCGTACCGGATTTGAAGCGGGTCGATCACCATATATATATATATATATATATATATATATATGCAAACGTCTACGAATAGACATAATGCTATCAGAAACCATGGGATTCAAACGAAGGTACAGAAATAGTAAAGGAAAACACAACACAACAATGTCCATGGTTTCGTCAGAGGGCGAGATTCCCGGTTGCCCAAGCCGAAGTAGGGTGTTGACTTAGGGGACACCATCCCGACCCTTTGGCTGAATAGCCTGTCCGCAAGGAAGCGGAGCGAATTCAGGGAATCGCGCCCATTGGGAGCCGGTGACCGATTGATCAGTTCATACGCCTTTCGTTTGTTCCTTTGTCAAACAGGGGCCCAATGCTCCCCAGAACTACAGCATAACGTTGCTGGAATACAATGCTTCGCCAGGATGAAGCAAGGGGCAATGACTTTATTTAGTGGCGAGTCACGTCCGCCACGTCACAGTGTTGTTAAACGGACATATGTGGACTTTTATAGGGAGGACGCTTGCCAGGCGAAAACCCACCACGTCCTGGAACACTGCCGCCGAACCATTTGCTGGAACGGAACAATCCTGAACCACCCAGCTGGCACCATGAGGAGGTTGTTCGGCAAGCCAACTCTGTTTCCAACGCAGAGTGGTGAATGTCTGGAACGACCTGCCGCAGCACATAGTAGAGGCGAACTCAGTGTCCGAATTTAAGAAGCTCCTAGACATTAGACGGCACACCAACTTAGTCAAGAATGTAGGTATTGCTCCCACAGTCAGACAATTACTAGTTGTACAAATTGATCAGGCCTACGATGGTGTTTCGCGTGTACAATGGAGAATATACATATATTCATTTCTTTATTTATATTCACATGAAATGTGTGAAATGTTTGTAAATGTCAACGAATTAGATGTTTGTAACATCAAACAAACGGACGGCCTCGCACCATCATGGATGAAGTATCAGGTTGCGCGGTTGCGCAAGAGGTATGCAGTAACAGCCATCTCAGCATTTAGCAACTCGCACAACATTTCGAAACCACACCGCATGCTATGCATCAGATATCAAATGGAAAAAGAATTCCAGCGGTAAAGTGCACTGCAGGTGCAAGTGCTAAATGCATCCGATTGACAGAATCGCCTAAAACTCGCCCGTTTGTTTTTATGCAGTCCGGACGAGCATTCCATTTTGTTCACTGATGAGGCGGTGTTCCCCTTGCATGGCGAAGATACGCAACATGTTCGGGCAACAACCAACCCACGGTAAGGTTGCGCTTCAGTTGTGCAACATAGCGCGAATCTCACGACCTGGGCTGGGTTGACTGGTCGAACAGCAATTAAGTCATTTTTCTTTTCCCAGTATGTCCGGTAGGTTGTTGTCTAACAGTACCAATGCCTGACATTCCTTAGCATCCTTGTTCAAGGAAATGTTGTAGATCAGCGTCATTCCGCAGCTACAATCAGAAGGGTTAATGAATAACTTTTGGTGGCAGCAAGATGGCGCACCTGCGCATTCGACGAAATCGTTACGCGCCTACCTGAACGAGACATTCCGTGGACGTTGGATCGGTCGCGGAGGATCGATAGAATGGCCTGCGCGACCATCGGATCCGAATCCCATAGATATTTTTTCCTATGGGGATACTTGAAGAGCAGTTAACAGAACGACACCTAAAAACCTGGGTGGACTGAAAGAAAACAATGTAAAAGAATCTAGGCAGATTTTCTTGTAGAAAGTGCTCGCAAACAAAATCCGGCGCATAATACTCTGTGGCCAAAACGACAAAGCGTACTTTAAACACATAATTCGTTGAGATTTACAAACATTTCACACATTTCATGTGAATATAAATAAAGAAATGAATATATGTATATTCTCCATTGTACACGCGAAACGCTATCGCAGCCCTGATCAATTTGTACAACTAGCAATTGTCTGACTGTGAGGGCAATACCTACATTCTTGACTAAGTTGGTGTGCCGTCTAATGGTGCCACCAGTGCGTCGACGCAGACTGAAAGCTAAGAGCATTCTCACGTCAAATCAAGAATTCATTTCTACGCACCCATGGAGGACGAATGTTCAGCTGTACCACACACGCGATCGAAACGGTAAAGAGAACAGCACTGTAACCTTACAATGCGCTCCCGTCAGTGTGATTCCCTTTAGCAGCGAACGCAGCCTAATAAAAGCTTAAAGGTTTGTTAGAAGCTAGTCATGAGGCGCTAACAGCTTTCGTGGGGATAGCAATACGGCGCCCATCGACCAGTCGTGACATAGAGCCAGGCAATTTTTCTCAATTGCTAGAACAGCCACACACTAACAACTTCGTAGGGAACCCTTTTGCTGGCTTTTCACCTGCCGACTACCGATCGATCGAAGCATGACACGTTCAGTGCGGCAGTGGTGTCTGGTTAACGTTCACTTCTCACAGCCGAACGGCGTGTGTTCACTGAGTCTTGCCCTGCAATCTACACATGACAGGTCGATTTCGGCAGTGGTGTTTGCAATCGTTCACTTCTCACAGCCGAACGGCTCGGTGTGCCCTGCGATTGTAGACACACATGTCGCGCCTCCGTGCCCCATCTCAACGACGCTGGCAAAGTAATTTGCGCCACTGGACAGTTAGCAATTCAGCGTACCGGAATACGTCGGCACCTGAGTGCAGCCGCTCCTAGCTCCGGACATGACTAATAAAACATCCTGTATTTGGAGCCTTCGATACCCGACGTCGAACAAAAGGTTTATTGTCATAGTAGAAAGATGCGCAGGTGGAAAAAGAAGCAAGGAACGAACAACAATTATGCTGTGCAAAAACATGTTGGGCAGCGAGAACCGTTCTTAGTTATTGGGAAATCAACCAACTGGCGAATTTTTAAAAGCCAATATACAGCAATGTAAAGTGGGCCCGATGCAGATGAGCAAGTTTTGTACCTCTTGCAACCTCAAGTGCACTGGATAACCCTTCAAAGGAATTGCTCACATGTTAATTGACTGACAGCTCCTTCGTTGATCCTGATCTCCAAAGTTGTAACACAACTGAAAGAAACTGAAACCTTCCTACCATTTCAGTTTTAGCAGCTGAGAATGTGAACATTGCGATGCCACAGAGGTTCTGACATCGTACGCATTCACAGACTCACAGGGTGCTATTGATATTTTGCCCTCATACGCTTATAAATAGCGGACGTAGTGACATGCTTGAAATTATCATAAACATAATGGAAAAACTAAATGTAGCTTTATTTAAATTGCCAAAAACAGACTTCCGCATTGGAGATTTTTTAATCTGAAGGGAAATGACAATGACAATAGAAAAGTGGACGCGTATGTTATCTAAAACTTGTGGGATACACTGATTTGAAAGTTATTGCTAATTATGTTCATTCATTAACTGTAACATTAGTACATTGGTATTAATTTTATGTCACATATGCTACTTAAGTATAAGACCAAAACTGATTGTAATAGTTGTTTGCGCAGATCGAGTTGGCATTTGAGTACTGTCCCCTATGTCGGCCGGTGACCTATTGGTCTGCACGACTTGTTTGCAATCACAAGGTTACTGGTTCGTATCCGCGTAGGGGTGGGCGGTCTCGTGGTATACTTAGCCCACGCGCGACCGGTAGTGGTCGCGCGGCAGTGAAGCACTGTTACGGGGTACAGCTGACACACTGTTTTGTTTGTTTGTGTCCCCTATGCATGAACCTGTCCATGGGGATCACCTGTCCAAGCGGATCACTTTTTGTCGGTCCCTTGAATGGTCGCTTAGATAGGTGTGAATGCGTATGCAAAAGAATCACAATGAGGCACGACAATGAATTCGACAATGTAACATGATAGCAGGTCTGGTAAAAGCATGCGTGATGATGTAATAAAGAGGGAAACCGTACTCACATCCTCGCCCCATGTATTGCCCCAACTGTTCTTCACTATCCAGTATGGTGAATGCCAGAATGAAGTAAATCCGTAGCCGACAATGAGAACCGCGTGATCCAAGCCTTCTTTCGAGCACAAGATGTGCGGTGGATGACTCACTCCTCCAAGATAGAACTACGAAAAAAACACCACTTTGCATGGTACGATGAAGCAAATTGAGACATACAATTTGGGTACACAAAATCCAAGCCAAACTTTGAATATTAATGCAACGCAAAGACTCGGTTGCGTACAGTGAACTCGTTTGTGATGTCTTCGAGAGATTTTTAAGTATTTAGGACAAGAGCAGATGAATAGGAAAGTAGGGATATGTTCATGAAAATGGCCGGTAACGTAGCCTGTTCAAGGACTAACCTGATTACTGTTTATTAAGCACACATAATGCTGGATATTCGTTTAGGAACCGTTAGTAAGCCGGATAGTGATTTAAACACCAGAAAAATGTTAGCGAACAAACTCGTTTTCAGTGGCTCCCGGGTTCCGTCGGGCAATCTTTTGGTAGTCCCTCTAGTATACCTTGTTCGACACGAACATGAGAGTATTGCCCAGCTTGGCTATAGAACGCAGTGACTAAAGTAGTGGTAAGCGTAATGTCTGCGTACTTGGTTGATTTGAACCACAAGGTCAAAGCGCACGAGGCATTCCATCCTATCTACCGCATACCCACGTGTTTCACACGAGCGGTTTGATGTCACCAACTGGAAGCGGCCGAAGCGATCGCCAATCGTCTTCCTAACCGGGCACTCACTCTACCCTGGCCCCTTATAACGCAGACACATGGTGTGGATAACACCACACACACCACCAATCACTATGGGACAATTCAACTCGACCGTTTTAACCTTTGAACTTGTACCCGTAGCTAATGTTTACGTTTGTCATTCACTCTTGTGGCATTGGCCTGGTTATGAACCACTGAAAAAGAGCTTGTTCGCTAGCAATTGTTCTGATGTCTACTGCCGGGATAGTTTACGATTTAAACTGCAATACCGGACTTTCGAAACCATAAAGCAAAAGATGGGGTTGAACGAACAATCCAACCAGTGAAGTATGGGCGTATGCAGGTGATATTTGGGGAAAAGAGATAGGGATCCGTCGAAAAAACTGGAGATTGCTGCAGTGATGAATCATGTGTCCTAAGTGACTGGTGGATGAAGGTTTCCGCTGACCACACCTGTTTGTGACGCTGCCTATCTTCGATGGATGCACTTTTAAAAATTTGCCCCTAATCAAGAGTCTACGCCACGATTCTCGAATCCACATGACAGACAATAGAAAAATCGTTCGTAATTTCATCAAGAAAGCGAAATGCATCAGGGTGATTTATTTCACTATTTCTCTTCAAATAGGCGATCGAAGCGATTACGGAGTACTCTTTGCTACCTCCGTCCAATTCACACGGGGTCGATGTTCTGCTGGAATGTGCGAAAGACGGTTCAATTTGTGTTGGACCTAGTTGTTAAATAGGAGCCAATGAAGAATTTAATGGGTAACTGCTCGCATCCACGACCGAAAGGAGAAGAGGAAAGGCGAGCTGGGACGGAAGTGTGCACATGAGAATAGTGCTTCGCTCATATAGAATAGAAGTAGTGGCAGAAGCTAGACTACTACAACCCATGCGAATGAGAGGCAATAAAAGTCAAAAGCAGTCACGGTAGTAACGAAAATTGGACCCTGAGATAAAGATCCATTTGGAATGACGCATGTCTACTAATCAACGTAAGGAAACGACGCGAAAAATAGTAAAAAAATAAGGGCCGATAATTAGGAATAGTCGTGATCTGGTAAGATGCCACTACATGACTGGCGCGACTCAACACCAGTTTTCATGATCAATGAGCAATTATTCCAGGTGACCGATCCGTTGACTTATCGGGGAAGTAGTGCTCCCTTTGACGGATATATCACTGAGGAAGCCATTACAAAGGCTTGTATGGCTTAGAGAAACCCTGACACTAATGGAGACGGAAGGATGTGAGTGTATTGGTCTAAGGAAGAGTTGACAATGCATCAGCGCGATCAGTGCTGCTGTATGGATCGACAACGGGTCGCTGCGAACTAAGAACATTCCAACATTAATCGTGTATCATAACAGTGTTTGAGCAATATCGCTCATATCTGATGGAGACACAGAACGAAAAACACGAAATTCGTCAACTAGTATTTGTCACTAAACTCTCCGGTTGCGCATTGGCGCGCATGACAGGCTACAGTAACGGTCACAAACTTGGTCTTGCTCCACAAACCTGTATTAGGGTGTTTCCACACATATTGTTTAATAAAACCATGTCCAAAAAAGTGGAACTACAATTAAGAAAAAGCACGAAAAATGGTACCGAAAGAGTGAATCCGATGATCTGTCATTTTTCGGATTGAGTCGCTGAAACAGCCGCCCCATAAGTTGGGGACACAGGTGGGCACTACGAAGTTGGCAGCAACGTCTATCGCAACGATTAATGACTCGTTAGAGTGGTCACTTAAAAGTACTTGTTACATGAACGGAATGCGACACAGTCTCGGTAGCTTTTGTGTAAAATATTCGGCTGACATCCCAACGTCTCCGATTCGAGTTGCAGTGGTACTATCAATCCAGCTGAAGAATGTGCAAGCGTGCACGAAATCGGTCGCAGAGTGCGAGTTCGAGAATGGACAATATCAGTTTCAGATACAGAGGGACTGAAACAGCTGAAATTCACTTCGAGGTGATTCGCTGTCCAGGTCGAGGCTGTATGCCGCAATCATTTCGCACAACAAGGGCTTCAGAATGAACCTAACTAACAGAAACGTAAGTCATATGAGGAGTATTTGCATGTTAAAATGTCTTCGAAACGCAAATGTCCCCTTAAAATTCAGAATAATAAAATGGAAAGTCAGAAAGTCAGTCGTAAGCTCGCCGATTAGTATCTTCAACCATATACGTTGTCAATAAAGGAAAAGAACATAAGGAGTCGGCTGGTACCGAACTGATGGCCGTATGGTGCGCTTAACGCTACCAGGGTAAATCCAGGCGGCATCAGTTGGTTCTGCAGACAGAGCAGCGGCCTCCCAACCGACTAGTGGGAAATCTAGTGGCTTGCGGATCTGAAGCTTTGGTTACGCAAGAGTGCCGGGGTTGCCCGCATGACTGGTGAACAATAAATGTCCGTGATTGTTTTTAAATTCGGGCTGCCCAAATTTCATGGATTCTATCTAATTCCGCAAACACTTAGAGGTTTCGTCTATTCGGACACATATTTCGATCAGTGTGCCAACCTAGAAATCTTCATAACTGCACGTGAATTCGTGTAAACAATAGGTGGTTTCAATGAACACATAAACAGTGACTGCATAGACGTGAAGCTATCATGTGATTCGCGGTAACTTTAATGTTGCAGTTACTTGCAAACTGTAATACAATAAAGACGAGCTTCTTTAGAACCGCTGTCGTTCAATCTGAATTCATCGAGTTGCTGCTGTACCCTATAAATCGCAAAGAATAGCCGTTGAATTGTAACGCGTCTAACTCCAGTGCTCGTTCTGCAGCTGGTGCGTCCGCATGTACGCTCGATATGGCAACATCCTGACTATAGAGTGTTTACGGTGTAGATGTGAGAAGCTCAAAAAGAGTTCACGGTGATTTCCAGTGAGCTGATTATTTGGCCGAACCGTGCAGTCGTTGTGCGAACAATAAATGTGCTCAGTCTTCTATGCCATACGTCAATGGTTGTCGACAAGATAACCGAGGACCAACAAAAACAAATCATTTGTTTCCAAGCAACTACACACAGAGTGTGGAGTGGATTATAGTGTGACATTCAAAGACGTGGTATAGTACAGTTGGGTGCAGTTATGCAACCATAGTCCGGGTACTCAAGTGTAGTGGATCAAGTCGCATAACCCGCGCTGTTAGGAGAATGATCATTGACAATGACATCCAACGTTAATAGTTTGCAAATAATAGCGGCTTAAAGGATGTGAAAAGCAATCAGGATATAAAATCAACAGGTAGATGCATGAAAAATGAGGTCGGAAGCGCACTGACTGCGAGATTTCGTTATATCGAGTAGGGTATCCAGTACGAACGTAGTTCATCATCTTGAGACTGAAATACAGGTTGCAACACAGTAAGCACCTACAGAGTGTAACAACTAAGTGAGCAACAGTCTCGAAGTAGCGGGGACTTTTAGGGTCTTGTGCTCTCTGCCTCTAATAGGTCGCATGTCCCACTGCTGCGCGCGCGTGAAAAAGCTCCATCTGACATTGGCAAAGAGATTGCGTAACTAAACCCTGTGTTCCCAATGGACACCAAGGGTACACCAATAGTTTGCTGAGCAATCATGCTCAGAATGTTAACTAGCTGCATAATTCAGCCAGGTATACAACAATAAATTATTGGAAATCAATTTCAGCCCCATACTATACAGTAGAGCTGAAAATTGGAGAAAAGTGGGGAACAGTGCGTGTTACCTAAATTTTTGGCATAACCCATTTGTGAGGGCCACGTGAGCGTACCACAAAATCTCGCGCAGAAACTTTAACCATAGTGAACCCACTATGTGGATTGGCAAAGATCACTCAGATGCAATGCTGTTAATAACATTTCCATTACGAAAGGCTAATCACCGTGAGTACCTGGGGAAAAGCTGTCCTAGCATTCTTATCGCACAGCTCGGGTTGTTCAGTCGAGGAGGGAAGGCTGAATTTAGTCGCACTGGTTAGAGTACACTTGGATAGATGAGGAATGCATGATGAATGATCACGAGTGCATATCAAGTCTGGTTGAGCATGAGGCGAACTGTTACAAAGTGTCTGTCCATTTCATGCCATCATCTAAATTATTGGTTCCAAAGAAAAAGTTGCATACGTTTTGTGACAGTGATAAGCCCATCATGAACCTGGCCACAGGCCGACTATCGCCATCGTTGTGCAAGCATGGTGCACCTTTGTACGACTTTTACACAGAAGATGCAAGTGTAAGAATGGGAGACAGTTTCAAATGCAGCGGCTGTATCCATCCATATGCATCTTCGAATTTAAACCGGGAATGTGGCGTGCGCAGACGTCCGATAGTCGTTAGCCATCACAGAGTAAAGTGAATCCCGAAACCGAAAATACCCAAATTATGTAGTGAACCG